GATTTATTTATTTACACATACAAGAACTGGGATACAGACCACAGTACAGAGGGTTGGTGGGTGAGAGGATTCACCAGAGACAGAGTGGGAAGTAGAACAATCAATGTAATGAAATACAGTTCTGAGGGGAGTAGTGGATGTGTTAGGAGAGGTTTGCTGCACCATGTGGGTAACCTCCCTTCCCTAGCTGGGGATGGAACTCATGCTGCTGTGACTGCAGATAGTTTCACAGTGCTGCGCTTTAACCCCTTGCACCACCAGGGAGGGCCCTATTCTTTTCCTTATGTTTGAAGTCTTCAGGCTATTTTTTTCAACACTGACAATTTTGACACAAACTTTAATGTAGATTTCTCTACAAAAAGTGTAAAGCAGCCTGATAAGTTATATCATTGTTTCTACATCTTTATTCTTATTTCTTGGTACATTATTAGGTGAATTCCTAATGTGACAAGGAAAGTAAGTTACAATTAAAAATCTTTTCTAATGCGCTTTTATTTTTAATCTAAAAGAGCCCAACTTCTTAACTCTTGGCAGACACCCATTTTTCCTCCTTTAAAAAAAAAAATACATATATGCTATATTTGGTTAAGTTGGTGTTTGAGAAATCTTGAAAATATGCCAGATAAAATAAAACCTGCTATATTCCTTTTATCTAGCTAAATTATTTCACATACACGATGTTATGCTGAGTTTAAATCCTAACCCTTGGAATTTATATTGTGATACCATGATAAAAGTGTTTACACTGTGATGATACGGAGCAGTAAATGTCTCTAATGCACAGACTTTGTCTCCTAGATTTGGTTTGCTATAAATGTTTATGTCTTAGGGGTGTACCTTGGCTGAAGATAAAACTATTCTTTCTGAGTGTTTGCTAGACAAATGTGTTTATTTTTCTGAGGCAAAGTTTTCTTAGTATTTAATCTAGTATATTTAGCTGATTATTTGGTCTTAGTCTTATTTTGAGGCTTGAACTTTTGTTGTAAAGCTTATATGAAAGAAAAAATACATATTCTGCCTATGTTGATTGCTTATGTGAAGGTATTTATTACTTGAAATCATAATACATATTTATATAAATTGGGAAAAATTCCATCATCTTTCACAAGAGGTGAAGTGATGTATTTATAGTTCCAGCTCATATTTATCACACCATTTATTTCTTCAGAAGCTACTTGTAAAACTTAATAAAAGTCTACTCTTGAACAGAACTATTTAAAGCTAACACTGTTGGGTTTGACTAAGTTCAAAAATAATCTGATGTTCAATATGTGACTTAAATTTCTTGTTGACATGCAGTACAATCCTTTTGCTTATTTTATATGCACTACTGCTATTAGTAGCTTACAAATGATATATCTGCAATAAAACTAAGTCACTGGAGGACTTAAAGAATTTATTGTTTGATCTCAAGAATATTGTAACATAATGGTAAAATCAGAATCCATCACCATATAGTTATATGCTTGTATACTGTTTTTATGTAAATTTACATAATTTTGTCAATACTGCTTTAGCCTTGATGATATTTGCTCTGAGGAATTCACCTCTGCTTCATCTCTGCAAGTCAAGTTAGCTTTTTCATTTGTGCAAAAATTATTGTCTTTTCATTTTGTGTGAACTTTGAGCCCCAGTTTTGGGGAAAAATGTTTTGTGAGTCAGTGCAATGTCTGAACCAATTGGTTACAAATTCAGTCTACTACAGGAGTTAGAAAAGATTATTAAATATTAGCGAGCTAATTCAAATTGTTTCAAGTTTCAGTAAGATTCGCACAAAACACAACTTGGGCCTTTAACCTTGGATGAAAGTTTGCCTCCTATCTGTTATTCACGCATCCCTCCAAAATTACACATACATTAATTGACTGGGGATGGAGAACAAGTGGTTTAAACTCCTTCCAGGTTGTACAATTAAATACAGCTTTTATTTTGGGAAAACCTTGTAAAATGCATTCAAAAAGTAATGCTAGCATGTCTAAAAGATCATCTTTCCAAACCACACTTGAGCTCAATTTATGGTGTTTACTTTCTGTCAAAACTTAGAGAAAACATTCACAGTTAACTTCCAGAATATAAAATGTCTCTCTCATTGGGCATTAAAGAAGCAAACTGGTCAACAGGTATTATGTTAGACTATATAGCTAATGTGAATGTGGACATGACCTCCCAAATAGATCAAAGACTAATCTCTGTGACAGTTATGAGATGGCAGAGCTTGCCATGGGCCTTTTGCTGCTACACATTGAAACTATTTGTTTGGAAAGCATGCCTGAGGGATGAGAATGTGTTTATAAGGATGAGCAGGTAAAAGTAAAAGGTTGTCTTGACATTTCAACTAATCCCTTTCAGCCTTTGGTTTACTTAACATTTAGGCTATTTGCTGGCAGGAGACACTGGCTTTTTCACATGTGCTTTATGTCATTTTAAATTGGGCGTTGATTTTCATGCTTGATAATTCCTAAGTGTACAATGAAGTAGATTCTGATGTCATTAAAATGAAGTGTACTGGCTTCCAGCCTTTTCCAATCTTCATTTTGCTTTCCTTAATTGTGTTCCCACAAAGACCTTTTTTTAATTATTTTTAAGCTGTTTCTATATGTAATAAAAAAATAGTTCGAAGTTAGCCTTTGTATACTTATTTTCAAAACATTTTTGTTTTTTTCTTTATTTTTCAGCTAAAATAATTCCCTAAGTAAAATATCTGAAAGTTCTTTAAAGGCCATTTGGATTGAAAAAGTATTGACAGGCCCTCTCTGGTGGCACAACTGGTTATAATGCAGCACTGCAAGTTAGCTGCAGCTGCTACAGTGCAGTTCATCCCCAGCCAGGGAGGTGACCCACATGGTCCAGTGGACTTCTCCTGACCCACCCACTGCTCCCCTAGCAGTGTACTTTGTTGATCTGCCTGTTCTGCCCCACTTTGTCTCTGGTAAATCCTGTCCTCTGGCCTGTACGCCAATTCAATGTGCATAAATAAATAAATCTTAAAAAATAAAGGATACTGACAGTTCCCAAGAAATTGAAATAGTAGAATTATACCTAAAATTTAATTCATATTAATGAAAACTCAAAGACAGACATGATCATTTTGTTTATTTAAATGTAGTAGTTGCTATATTACCTATAAATATTTCATTTATAACTAATACTTGCTGGAGTAACTCATCATAGGACGAGTGATCATAGAAAGTTTTCGTCTGAATATAGTGTAGGAAATTTTCATCTCTTCACCATTCAGTGTGATGATATCTGTGGGCTCGTCTATTGCCAATTCTTATTTTCTTTCTTATCTTTTTATGACCTACTGTGTTGAGAATTTTTACCATGGGAAGATGTTGAACTTTGTCAAATTCCTTTTCCGCATCTGTTAATATGATCATATGATTTTTATCTTCATTTTGTTAATGCAGTGTATTCCATTTTATCGATTTGAATATGTAGTACTGCACTGCAGTAGTTTTAATGTTTGAATTTTGTTGGCTGTTATTTTTTTATTTTTGAAAAATTTTGCAACTGTGTTTATTGAGGATACTTAATTTTCTTGTAGTGCCCTTGTTTGGCTTTGGTATGGGAGAAGTATTGACCTCTGAAAATGAATATGAAAGTGTTTCCTCCACTTAAGTATTTGAGGAAGGTTTAAGTATTCCTTAAATTCTTGGTAGGATTCATTTGGTGCGCCATTTGGTCCTGGGGTTTTCTTTGTTAGGAGGTTTTTGATTACTGTTTCAGTGTCCTTACTTATTATAGATCTTCTCATATTTTTATCTCTTGATTTAGTATTTGTAGGTTGTGTTGCTAATAATTCATCTTTCTAGGTTATCCTATCCTATGTATGTAAGTGTCTATAGTAGTTTCTTATGAGCCTTTATATATTTGTAGAATCAGCTGTAATCTAATTTTTTATATATAGTTTTGTTTGAATTTTCTTTTTTTTGGATTGGTTATCAAAGTTTATTAGTTTTAAAAATCTTAAGGCAATCATTAAGAAAATAAAATTATGTAAGTCATATAGTAAGAAATAGTAAGTCAATAGTAGAAATAAAATGGAAGTTTCAGAATATTAAAAAAAAAAAAACCTGACCTCTCGACCTCTCCACCCCCCAATAAAGTTGGGTTAAATAAAAGATAGTAAAATGGTAGATTTAAACCTAATCAGATTTCAGTGGTCTGAAATCTTAAAAAGCAGAAATTATCAGACTGGACAAACATAAAAGAATGGACTACTGATGTACATTTCAACATCAATGAATTACAAACTCATTATGCCAAATGAAAAGAGACACACCAATTTTATTACATAGTACATAATAAAATTGATGGAAATATTTCTCTCTCAAGAAACGGCAACCTGAAAGCAGATCATTTGTTGACAGCAGTAAAGGAAATTGACTGAAAGGGGATAGGAAGGAACTTTTTGGGGTGCTGAAAGTATTCTGAATTATGATTGTGGTGGTGGTTACATGAACTATGAATGTCAGGATTCATTTACTTTTACATTGAAGGTTTGCAAATTTTATTATATGTAAATTATTTCTCAGTAAAACAAAGCTGACATAACATAGCTAACTGATTATATTCATGTGGGATTTTAGGAAATGTAAGGATGATTAGGAATCTTTTAAAATGAACCAAAAAAAATTTATTACTGAAAAAATCTTTCTGCACTAATAAAATTCCTTGCTAACATGTTAGAAGTTAATATTTAAAAAAAAACTCTATATACTATATATTGTTAATATATTTTTTAAATACCAGGTTGAACTAAAGCGACAGTATAATGACCATCATTCAAAATTAAGAGGTCTTTTACCAGGTCGTCAATGGTATGAAATTCAAGCATACAGGGCCTTGAACCAGGCCCTAGGTAGGTAAGTGGAGTTTGTTACTGCAATATTATCTGTGACTGGAGCTATATGTATTGCTCACCTTGCTACTTTACTCCTTGTTGTGGACTTGGTAAAATTTTACTTCACTGAGTCCCTAGAAGTTGATATAATTTCAGTGATAGATCATTAATGAAAGTTGAAGAGTCAGTAGAGTAAATAAAACTTAAAATTTGCTAAAGTTTGAAAAAAACTTGTGATTTGTTAATTGATGAATATCACACAAAGGTGTTTACTAAATGTTTCTGAAAGCTCTCTCCAAACAATAAGTTTTATCTTAATAAACAGCACAGATCATGACTTTATAAGTGAAAAAGCAAATCATTCAAGAGTTAAAAAAAAAAACCCATGCTTGTGGTACTAAAGAATTAACACAACTAAAGAATTAACATTAACAGTTAAATTTAATTATAACACTCCTTTTTCTATGAGTTCTGGTCCATTAAAATTTGTGCTTTGTGAAAATAGTTTTTATGTGACTATTTTATACCAAAATTTTGTGAATGTAAAACATCAACATTTAATTTATGAATACTAATTATTACATTATTATAATGTAATTTACTATTTTACATTCTTTTCAAATGAAACTAATTCATTTAACCATGTATAGTTTTCCTTAAGGTTGTAAGATATTCATATAATTAGGAAAAACAACACAGAGTAAAAGTAGAATCATGAAACTGTGACCATTTAACATATTTTCATTTAAGCCAGGAGGTCCATAGCTAACCAAATCCAGAATTTAGATTTTTCTCAAGTATCTTGTCTGTTCACATTAGCACATTTGCATATAAGCAGTCCCTTGTATTTGAGTTCAGATTTATGTATACCAAGTGACGTGGACTCCAGAAAACACCCACTCTCCTCCCTATCATTTCAGACTATTATTTTTCATACGTTTCTCTTCAAACTGAATGATTCAGTTTCATGGTTAATCTGCTGATAGGGTTTAGATGCTGCCCTTTTCTGCCTAAAGCCTGATTGGTACTTAGCCTCAAATTTCACTGGAGAATTCTTGTATTATTATTATTGTTTGTTTATAAATATATATTTCATCATTGTTAATTTTTAAACAATATTTGCTTCTCCCGACCCCCTAGGTATTTTTCCCGCTCAGAACTTCCTCCCCTCATGCAGATTGTTCTTGAAGCATTTCTTCTGACTACTTTGTTTCTCCTGTTGATTGACCCATTTTTAATCTTGGCTTACATTAATTAATAAGTGGCCCAATAATTAAAATTTATTACTTAGCAAATAGTTTCTGTGGGAGCCTAAATATATATTTAAAGTTCTTCACTTTTAGTCAGTTTTCAGGAAAATAAATATTCTTACCTCAGTTGATTATTTTTTCCATTTAATATACTTTGAATTTCAAGAAGCCATTTGAAACAGAACTAGATTTATTCCCTACTCTGTCATTTTTATACCTTTTAAACAGGTTATAAAAAATGAAATCACTTGCCTAATGTCCATAGCTACTAAATTACCCTTCACATCTTGGCTCCACCTATTTTTAAAACCTCGGGACCTGTTTTTTCATCCTTGTTTTCTACTTCTGTCAACTAAAATTATTGCTGTTACATATAAACATACCACTATTAAACTACAAAATATGTAGTGTCTTTTCGTGACTCTCTGCCTTGGCATAGAAGCTACCATACAATTCATTTGGCTAGTTTAAAATCAAAACATGGTTGAAAGTTCAGATCCTTTATGAACATTTAAAAATTTCTCCAACTAAGTTACTTACATCTTAGGAAACATTTTTCATACAAATATGTTAGAGTATATATTTCATGTGTTGCAGTAGCCTATATATACATATGTATATGTGTGTCTGATGAATATATATATACACATTCTTCCTTAAACATATACATTTTTGCATTCTCAGCAACAAGCTGTATCTCAGTTTGAGGTTTAGTTGTTCAACAGAGTCTTGTTGATTTAACAAAGAATGCATGGTTAATTTCTTTTTAGAGAGCTTCTAGAGCTTCAAAATTCTAGAATTTTATGAAAAGTATGTGATGTTGCTATATACTGTAGTTTTAACCTTTTATTTATTAAAAAATGGATAGCCCTGTGGTTATTTGCTAATTTTCAGGAAAACAATGTCAACAATTAGCAGCTATTGCAGAGAAACATATCCATTTAAACATCAAGGAAAAGCTTTATATATTTATATGATACACTCATAATTTGTGTTGATTACCAGGAAACTCAGGCACCATTCTTCTAGGTGATATGTCTAGAAGGTCTAAAATAAGCAGAAACAAGTTGAGGTTAAAAAAAAAAAAAGCTATTTTTTTAAGCCCTTGTGGGACTATTAGAGTATTTAAAGTAATATAAGCTCATGAAATGTAATAACAATTTTCGGGAATGTACCAGATGGTTTTGTGACCAGGTTATAACTGTACTGAATTTCCTAATGGGTGTGCTTTACTAAAAGTATAATCTTTGTCTCAAGTGGGCATAATTCATTTGATCAAGGCAGTATGCAAACACTGGAAAAGAAAAAAGGTAAACCTTTTTTCTTCTGAACTGTTTTGTTAACTTATATGTCTTTATACCAGAGGACACTAAAAATAAATCAAAATGGAACCAAAATAGATTGACATCAGATTTTCAACATTGTTCTATAATATTGGCAATTGCCATTTCCTATCTTGCTCAATTTTAAGATCTGATGTTTTGGAACCTTTGGATTACTCTAAATAATAGTTTAAGAAGAATATCATATAAAACTTGGGTTTTTAATGTCTCTGGGAAAATTTGAGCATGTCAGCCTCTATTCCCTCTCATAATTTCATGATAGTTAAGAAATAAATATGCCTAATCAAGGTTAAAAGAGTGAGAGGTGGGACAGTGACAGATGAGATATCAAAAAAGTTTGAACACTACAAAACAGAAGAATGATTGAACGACTTAATGAAGCCAGCTTTATTCTGCTACTGAAATTAGATATAATATGTTTGAAAAAAAAGACAATATCTGTCTTGAACATAGATAAAAAATATAGTTAACAAAAATTAGCAAGTTGGGTGGTGAGATCCATGAAATGGTAGGGTGAAGATCTCTGAAAATTCTTTTCTCAAAAAGAAAAGAAAGAAAAAACCAATGAGGGAAAACAGAATCAGCATTTTCAAAACACCATTCCAGAAAGCATTTATTCATGAAAAATGACTGAGTCTAATTAAGACTAGTGAACTTAATGTATTTTAACTTACTGAATTCCCACCACTGCTGTCCAAGTTCACAGTAGCTTTCAAATATGGTGAAAGTCAGCAGCCTGCATCCCCTGAAGGAATGGGATCTCATTTTCAGAGAATCATCATTGTAGTTCCCTGGAAGACCCCATTGACAAGGCTGTCTTTATTTGACCTGAATTCCATCAAGCCTAGGCAATTGTTTAAACTTTATAGCTTCCTAACACAATATGAGAAAAGTAGGTCAAATAGTAAACTAACTTAAATCTTAAAGGGGAAAACTGGAAATGAGAAGTCTGTTGGGGGCTTTAAAACTTCTAACATGTTCTTGGAACTTCATTGGGCCACACATGTATATAGGACTCTGCATACGACCAGGGATGTCCACATGCACAAAAGGTCTGAGAAGGCCCTAAATACTCATCTCTGGCTAACCTTGAGAGACTGCTGAAGACAAAGTGAAGACTAAAACAAGAGTTGTCTCCTGTATAACTGAGAGTTGAAAGCATGTCCAACAACATAGGCAGAACTTGAATGGGATGTGTTAGTTTCAGACATTTAAGGAAGTCAGTGTCTAATCATTAACTGACCACTAAGTTAAACTAGCAATGTCCATACATGACTGAATAAAGACTTCACAAAATTATTTCAGAAAGACACATCAGTAACAACAAAAACCTTGAAGAATGTGAATCTGATTTTTACAATTGTCACATTATATTATCTTAAATACATTGTATTATTTAAAATGTAGTGTTTCCAGTAAAAATGATGGCAAGTATAAAGAAAGAAAGCCCATTACGGGGGAAAAAGCAATAGAAAGTGTTCCTCAGAAATCCCAGACATTGTACTTTATATAGAAGCTATTTCAGATATGGTCAAAGGACTAAGGAGGTTATGTCTAAAGAACTACAAGCAACTGGGCCTCCTTGGTGATGCAGGAGTTAAAGTCTCAGTTATATTAATAACTTTTATTAAAGGAACATACAATTGACATTTCATTAATTTTTGCAAACTTTGGTGTGTCCTACTACAAATTTTCAAAATTATATTTATTTTCTCCCTGTTTATTACATAGGTGTATTCGGCACAGAAATGATTGGGGAGCTCTAATTCTAGTGGATGACCGCTTCAGGAGTAACCCAAATCGATATATATCTGGTAAGATTTTCAGCTGCACTTAAAGTAAGAATTAAAACAATCTTTGGTATTTAATGGAGTTCTAAAGACAAACCATTGGACAGAGAGTTTCAATTAATGGAACAAACAGAAAATCTCACATTGATTGGAAATGTAAATTTTAATGCTTGTTGGGTTTACCAAAAGATCTTTAGAAAAGAATCTGCTTAGTTACCAATATAGTATATTTTTAAAACACATTCCTTTTTATTTTTTTAGAATATAGGGTTATCCCCCTCAGGTGCTGTCACGATAGTTCTGTCACCACCAACATCCCCGCAGTCTTCCGGTACACTCCACTGTGCTCTCCTCCTCCCACTTTTCTCTACCTTATCCACCTCCTCCCTCTCCCCTCCTGAATGTCTCATCTGCAGTCTGCTTTCAAGAGTCCATTGTATAGTTTGTCTGACCCTTCAGTTTCTCTAGATTCCACATTGAAGTGAAATCATACAATACTTGTCTTTCTCTTTCTGGCTCACTTTCTGAGAATAATACCTTCATCTTCTCTCCATGTTGCCACAAATGGCATAAGATTATCTTTTTAATCTCTGAGTAGTATCCCATAGTGTATATGTACCACATCTTGTTGATCTATTCATCTGTTTTGGGGCAGTTAAGTTGTTTCCATGTCTTGGTTATTGAAAACAGTGCTGCTATAAACATAGGAGTGCAGGTTTCCTTTTGCATTAATGTTTTTGTGCTCTTTGGCTAGATACCTAGGAGTGGGATAGCTGGGTCATATGGTAAATCCATTTTTAGTCTTTTGAGGACTCTACACTTCTTTCCATAGGGTTGGACTAGTCTACAAATACAGTCCCACCAGCAGGGTTCCTTTTTCACCACACCCTCAACAGCATGTTGTTTGCAGGTTTTTGACATGGGTCATTTTCAAGATGTGAGGTAGTATCTCATTGTAGGTTTGATTTGCATTTCCCTTATGATAAATAATTGTGAACTTTATTTTCACGTTTGCCATTTATGCATGTCTTGTTTGAAGAAGTTACCTACTTAGCTCTTTGCCCTTTTTTCAATTGGGTTGTTTGTTTTCTTTTTGTTGAGCTGTTTAAGTGCTTTGTGTCCACCCCTTATCAGATGTATGGTGTGTAAATATTTTCTCCCATTCAGTCTCTTTGTTTTGGTCACTGTTCTTTCACTGTACAGAAGCTTTTTAGTTTGATATAGTCCTGGTTGTTTATTGTCCCCTTTGTTTTGCCTGCTTGCTGGAAATGAGTCTGCAAAGATGTTTCTGAGGTTTATGTTATGGCGTGTTGTGCTTGTTTTCTTCTGTGTGTTTTATGGTTTTGGGTTTTACATCCAAGTCTTTTTAACTCATTTTGAGCTGATTTTCATGTACCAGCATAGTATTAATCAATGCAGATCCTTAATTTTCATGGAATATGAGATATGATCCCATAACACAGTAATATTTTATTTGGCCTTGTTAAGGGAAAAGCTGTTCCACAGAAACAGATTTTCCAGGAACTATTAAAATTTTATATCTAGCACATAAGTACATCTCTTTGACTGTTTACGATTCTTTATTTTTTTCATTCTGGGTTATGTTAAGATTTTTTTGTTTGTTTAGAAATGTTTCAAGTTATGGAGCATTCTGTGGAATGAAGTATAAGAAATGCTTCTTAGGTTAGTCAGAGTTAGTGTTTTCTCAAAGAAAAAAACACGTTGCTTGCTGAAAGATCAAGTTGATGAGCATTTTCCCCCCTCAAATAAGTATTATGTGCCTGTAGTTTTCAACCAGTAGTAATGCAGTCCTTTTAGAGTCAATACCAGAAGTCCACCCTTTAGTAAAGAACTTAGGATATACTTGCATTTTTATTATTAATTTTAATGCTACAATGGTCATACTGCCCTAATGAAGAGAAGTTAAGTTTTAAATTTGTTTCAGATTAGATGTCTGTGAATATGGACTCTCCTTTTTCCACTTCAGAACCTAATTATGTGTTTGGCTTGGTGTGTAAACATAGCCATCTGAATTTTAGTATTAAATGCTGCTATATTGCTCTTTTCTCTCCTTCCGTGTAAAGCAAGCCTTTGTACTAAGGTCAACATATAACTAAGAAAATGTTACGTGCTAATGTTTAGTCAGCAGGTGGAGCTCAGATTCTTTCAAGTTTTCAAAAGCAAACAGTGGTATTTTATAATGAAAAGACTTTCTTTGATAAAAAAAGTTGAAATGAACCATGTAATTTATAATACGAAAATTTTTAAATTTTGGAAGAGCTCATATTTCGATTTGGTATAATTATTTGCCCCAAGCAGTCAATAAAAGAATTTTAAAGGTAATGTTTATGTAATCTTTTTCCTTTAAAATCCTGGACTTAAATTTTTATTTCAAATTCAGAGATGTGCAGATTCTTTAACTATTTTTCATTTTTCCTATATGGTTTTCATTTTTTCTGGATTCATAAAGTGAAATATTTTCTTATTTACACTATAGTAGCACAACACACAAAGTCCTTTTGTGACTCATTTTGTATTTAGATTCAACTTCCATAAATATAGGTTGATAGAAAAATACCATTATAAAAGCAAAATAAATGTGTTTACAATGAAGTTTAAGTTTCTTAGAAGCCTGTTTTATCTTACTGTGAATTTATAAGACAACAACTTTAAGATTCTTCCAAAAGACGATGGTGACTTTAACAGCATCAGCAAAGCGTATTTATTTTCTGAAAGTCTACATGAAAGGTCTGATTTCAAATTTCATGCTGTAGTGATACTACAGAATACCTTATACTTGTAAATTGATTTTATGCCATGTTTTAGTTGTCACTTAATTATTTGCATATTTAAAAATAATTGTACTGAGATAGGATATTATTTACCCATAAAATTGTTATTCCTCTCACTCATAAAATAGATATACTTATAATTGAATAATATAGAATACATAAATAATTAATAAATAATAGATTAATTATATTTGTAATTGGGAGAAAGGGAACAAGAAAACTATGTGATTGGAAACTGGAGTTTATTTTTGCCAAGTAGTAAAATTTAGAAAGCTAAAATGGAAGGTTGTGTGGATTATAATTTCTAGTTCCCCTATAATGAAAAGATAGCCAGTTTTGTGCACTAAAATTGAATTTGTCTTATTCCCTAGTTATTAGAAGTAGAAGAATAATACATTTCCTTCTCCCTACTCATCAACTGCATCTTGCCTCCTACCAGTGGAAAATCAGTGACTGCATATAAAAAGAAATGTTACTGACCTTGAGTATGTTATACTTATAAATGTAAAAAGACAGGGAAAATGAGAGCAATTCTACTCTAAACTCAAAGTGGATTACTTTATTACAAAATTTAAATACATTATTAGAAAATGATTTTAAGTTTTATCTTTTTCCTTAGGCCTTTCAAAATGGGTACGGCAGCAGATTCATCACCACTCCACCTTTGAAAGTGCGCTGGAGTCCTTGGCTGAATTTTCCAAAAAGCATCAAAAAGTCATTGGTATATCCAAGGAGGACAGGAAGTCTGCACAGGACAGTGAGTCCACATTTGAAGTGGCCTGTTCGAAAGACATTACTTCTACTTACTTCTTAGAGGCAGCAAGTCATCTCTCACCAGAAAATCCTAGGGAAAATGAAGCAAAACTGTACACCCAAGAACTACTTTGTCCTAAAATGACTCCATTTCTGGCAAGTGGCATCAGCTCCAGAAAAGAGAAAAGTATGAAAACTTCTGCTTGTTTATATTTCATAAAGACATCTTTCATTATACTTGCAAAATCATATTTATTATTCTGTAGATTAGTTTCCTTAAATATGTTAGTCTCTTTTTAACATAAGATGTTATCATAAGGTAGTGGAAGTATAGGGTGTATGAGAATGGGATCAACATTTGTGAGGAAACCTGACAAATATTTTTTTCTGGTTTTCTACTACCAACTGCCATTAATTAGCTTTGTGACCATAAACAAGCCCCTTAACAGAAACAGGAATAACTGTATAATTCGTCCTCCAGGTTGGGTTTTTAAAGATCATATAAGTATCACAGTACTGTAAAGTACTAAACAAAGAGTAATGGTCATTTTTAAAGGAGTATTATTGAAAACTGGTCTACTTTATAAATACTTCTCTTACATGAATTTCTTAGTTTAGGGATGAGAATCATTTACCATAAATGATAAAAAATAGCATTTTGGAAAATAATGGTTTATATCAGAGGTTAACAGACTGGCCTGTGACCCAAATTTGGCCTGCCATTTTGTAAATAAAGTTTAATGGAACACAGTCACACCCATTCTTTTACATTTTGTATACAACAATATAATTGAATAGTTGGCAATAGGCACACTGTAACACAAAACCTGCAGTATTTATTATGTGACCTGTTACACAAAAACTTTGCAGAACTGTGATCTGTATCATTGGACATCATTTTAATTGTTTTTTTAATGTCAGGGTTATAGAATATTTTAAACACTTATTTTTAGCGTATGCTTTTATAGAAAATAAATGTGGTAGTATTTTAAAGTCCCTTACAGTGATACTCAGAAAACCTAAGTTCCAATCCAATTCTGATTACTAACTAGTTTTAAAACTTTAAGCAAATAACAGCTTTTGTGGTTGTCACTTTTCTTAAGGAAATTAGTCTACATCAGTTTCTCTCAATTACTAGCCAGTGGATTTTCATGACAAATTTTTCTAGCCTGCGTCCTCCTTCACTTAATTCTCTACCTCTTCCTTTTCACCCCTCCTTTTTTCTTGAGACACATGGTGTAAAATTTGATAGTTTACCAGATAGCATTATAACTTGGGGTGGAGCCATTGGAGGCTTAACATGCCTTTCATTTTATGCTTTACATTCTTAGAAGTCCTGCTTCTATGTACCCTATATACTTATTTACATATAACCAATAAAAATCATTTTATTATAGCAGTTACATTAGTTAGGAGCAGAAAGTTAAAGTCATTAAATTTTTGTATTCATAGATGATCCAGTGTTCGTGGAAGAGTGTGCCAAGGCAGTGAAAGCAGAAAAAATTGTAATTTCCAGATCTACAAGTCCAACCTTCGACAAACCAACAGAAAGAGTCAGCTGGTGTAGCTTTAATTCTTCAGGACAGTATCTGACTGGTAAAACTCTGACAGCATTACCTCAGCACAGGCCAGCAGAAGATGGTGCCTCTAGTTCTTCCACTTTCAAAGCAGAAAAGGGATGTAAAACTGTTTTGTCACTCACCAATAAATGTGAGTTCTCATCTCCTACAGTAAACACATCATTTGAACTGTGCCCTCAATCAGAAACCATTATTCCATCAATAAAGACTGATGCTACTCTTCTAAAAAAGAATCATTCAGAACAGCTGTTCTGTTGTGAAGAAGCCCTAAGCCCAGATACTGAGTTGTCTCCCGTAAGTGAAGAGTCTCAAGTTTCTACTTCAAATAGAGCTTTTGAAAGTGAAGCAGAAGATGAATCTATTTATTTCACACCTGAACTTTATGATCCCGTAGAAACAAATGAGGAAGAAAGTCAACTAGTTGAAATTGATCAAGACAGTAGATTATCTAATAATTCAGACTGTATTTTAGTTGAAGATCTTTTTGAAAACAGAGCTATGAAAGGATTTAATTCAGACAAAGAAGTAAATGTTGAGGATTGCACAGATACAAAGTTGAATAGATTCATGCATATTAAAGAAAGTAAAATTGATGACATTAGTAGTAATGTAGAAACAACTCATATGAATGAATTGGAACTGGGAAAATCTCAGGAAACAGATATAAAGAACTTTAAACAGTCTCTTTGCTAAAATACAAAGGTGTGTTCCTTGGTGTTAGGTAACTACTTAACAAGCTATGAAATACATCCTCACGTTTGCGATAATATATTATCTATTGTAAATAATCTATACATTGGATAAGTAGTGTAGTTTCTTTGATTTTAGATATAATTTTCACTTTAATTCAATATCATTCAGAGTTTTCATTGTCTTATTGTATGTTCAAAATATTTTACTGTTCTTGAGTTTTGATAAAGTGATTTGTACAAAGTATTTTCCTACAGCAAGTTTTTCTTAGTTAAATGCAGCTTAAAATTTGTCTATTTTATGGTCCCCTTAATTCTTTTTTTTTTCCAAACTGATTCCTATAAAATTACCAGCAGTCTAACCCATTTGCACTGCAACCATGTTTCACTATGGATTTTGCCTTAGCTCATTCTGAGATATTTTTGGAAATCAAGATTTTCTGGAAAAGTTTAATTTTGTAAGACTACCTAATTATAAGTAATTAAGAGATAAGGCAGAAAACTGTTTGAGTTTTTAATAGAAATTACTTTTGTGTGTGTGTGTGTAGCAAACCAAGATCAAGTATTTTCAATACAATTTTAATTAAAGTTTTAAATGTTAAAAATTTCAATTCTAATTAGCTTCATCTTCATTGTGGAAAGAAACAGCATATTCTAGCATTAAGGCTTTAATTATGCATTTGTTAAGATACAAATGTACACAAATAAATTTAATAAGCAATCCCTAATATATAGCTAAAAATGTCCCCTGATGAGTAGCTTAGGAGATTTTTCTGAAATTTTTGACTGTTTATGTTTCTGTGACTGAAGCTGTATTTCTGAGCAAAAATGGTTATGAGATGCTCTTAGATCATTCCAAAATATATTCAAATGATCTTTTCCTAAGAAACATTTGTTATTCAATGAATATTTAGTCATCTTGTGAGGGATTTCGATTAAAATTTTATGAGTTGTTAAAGCTGTGGATGTGATTTCAAGTCAGAATCCCTAAGCAATCAAATATCTTTTATATTCAATTGGAGAAAGAAATAATTATATATACCTATGTTACTTTTACTTTGATGGCATTTAGAGTGAATACAACATGATTGTTTCTATTGTTGGATGTTACAACTCTAAACATAGTTAAAAGAAATTTAAATTGATAGTTTATCTGTTAAAGAATTAATCTATAGATTGGGATCCTATTTAGCATTGTAATTTTTTTTTTCAATGAACCAGTAAGGAATAAGTTACAACTAAATTAGAATTTCTAAATTGTTTTGAAAGAGTGAAACCCTTTCCCTCTCTGATATAGTTAATTCACAGTAAGGGTAGTGGAAAGAGTACCAGCTGAAGACAGGCTTGGGCTCTGTTCTTGACTCTGCCACTAGTTTGCTAAGTCATGTTGGCAGGCGTCGTGCCTCTTGGGGAATTAGTTTCATTTGCGAAATGCAGAGTTTAGTACTATAAAATTATGCAAATCCCTTTCTGCTTAAAAAACTCACAATTAAAAGGAATATATCTTGATATTTTACTCTGAATCAATGTTGTGTTCTAAAATGCTTAAAATAAAGCATACCATTGTAGAAAATGTGAAATGACACTTATTTACCTTTAGGGAATAATTGTATGAATATGTACCTAGTAACTGGGGAAGCAAGATATTTAGCATTGCAACCATTAAAACATTTTTGGACCACTAAGGTAGCCTTTAGAAGTGCAAACTAATGAGAAAAATCAAGCATGTTATGTTTTAGTCATACTTTAGTGTTATTATCCAACTCAATATCATATACCATCTCATTTTCCTACAGATGATTCCTTTATGATTTTCAAAATCTAATTCTTTCCAAGATTAAGTTATTCCGTTACTAAAAATTTATATAGAGGTATAACATAATAGTTCAAAATATTTGAAACTGTTGAAATAATCTTCTCAGATCGCAACTTTGACCATATTTCAAGAAATAAAATACTAGCTTTACAATAGAGTAGGGCCAAGAACATTTTCATGTTATAATATACCTTTAAAAAGACGTTTCAGAGTTAAATATGTAAATATATTTAAAAGACAGTCTGGCATGTTGCAAACCAGCAGTTATGGTTAGTAAATAAAATCACATATGTGTTGTGTACATGTATTTTCCCTAATGATAATAGAAGATAGATAGACAGGTAGAAAAAGAATTGCTATATAACACAAAAGAAACCTTACTTGGTTAGTTTATTTTTTTAAGACTTTTGAGATAATATAAAAAGTTGTTTATCAGGTAATTTGCCTTACTCATTCAATGCATGTGAAATAATTATTTGATAATGAATTTATTCAAGGACTGAAAAGTGTGTAGAGCATACAGGTCACGAACCAGGAAAGCTACCAGGTGGAGAAGGGACCTTATTCATGGAATAAAGGTACAATGTAAAGAGTAATTGTTTCATTGTTTGACCTTTGAATTTTGGATGAATCATTTAAAACTTTTTATAATTATGTTGGAAATTAATGACAGCTCTTAAACATTGCTGTCTCTATGCATTTAATTATTACATGGTTTTTAATTTGGCACTGTTTCAAAGTTCACATAAAGCTTTGTCGTTATTTTTCCTTTTGATCTTAAAGTCTCTATTCAAGACATTAATTTCTTAAGAAGAGTTTCAGATATGTCTGCAATATGCCTTTGTCGTGTTTTCTTATAGTCAAACACGTTCAAAATATTTAAATCTTTTGGAATTATAAAACTTCATGAAATCAGACTGCCTGTTAAATAATCACTTGAAAAGTCAATTATTACAGTCATTTAACTTCAAAGTGATATCATCTCTTTTGTTTTTGATTACCACATAATTGTTCCTGTTCATGCTCTTTTTAACCTCAGATTTATCAATGAGCTATACTATATTTTTTTTAAACTTCATAAACTCATGGTATATTTTTTTGGCTATTTCCATAGACAAATGACAATCTTTTGTCAATAGAAAGACAGTATTAATTCTGAGCTTTTTTATAGTAAAAAGGAAGGTAGTAAAATTGTAATGTAAAAGCATCTATGTAGATATTAAACATGGAAAACATTACTTTGGGAAATGGAAATTTATTCAGATGACCTAGGCTTAATGGTTCTTTAGCCTCAAAAGGTCTTTGAGTCCACCAAAAAAAACAAAAAGAGACTTTTGTATGTTTTAATTTGATAGAACCATTAGCTGCCCAGTTCCCTGTATTCTACAATGGAGCCTTGTTAGAATATCCATAGAGCCTTGTTAGAATATGATCACCTTATTGGTGAAACCACCTTATAATGAAGTGCTTTCAGTAACTAACTCTTGGACTAGATCCAAAATAACTCATCTCATACTAAAATCCTCCTACAATAAATAAGCTTTAATGTATTAAGGAAAACAAAAGTTGTCTGAAACTTACTAATCAAAAAATGTAAACTTTGAAAATTTAATGGTAAATACTAATTAAAAGGACTACTACATTTGTTAACAGGCATAATTAGTAGATGTTTCAGTACTTTTTAAAAATAAATTTGTTTCTTTTAAATCTACCTTTTTAAAGCAATTTAAGGTTTTATTATCTTATGCTTTTCTTAAATTTCATTTCACATCAGCATTTACAAGACTCAGTATTAAAATGTCTCTTGAATCCTTGTTATTATAAAGTACTAAATTGTACAAGTGACATATCATTTATCTAAACTATTTTTTATGCCACCATCTTTTATCTATGACTCATGTAATTGAAGGAGTCTAAAGAAATTAAATATTGATTGTTATTATTTTGGATCAATTACTGTCTTGGTTTATTTCTCCCTTTTTTTCAAAGTGGTGTTAATTGCATTCATATTTATATATTAACTATTTGTTCAAACACCAATCTTTTATTTCTTGTAAAAAGACCCAAGTAACCCACCTTGCCAGTCAGGACTTCACTGTATTGCTTGTGGAGCTGATTTATTACTTGAAGTAGAAAGAGGTAGGAAATAAAAAGGCATACTGTGTGCCATCCTTAGCATAGGCTTACTAAATTACAATAAAGTGAAATGAGTTAGTAATTCGTATTTCAGTCTATAAGGTTAATTGCCAGTATACATGGACTATATGTTGCTCTTAGACTTGGAATTCCACCTGACAGACTTGGAAAGTTATTTAACTTACGTGAATTTCTGGTTTTTGGTTTTCATTTAAAATTGGAGCTCAATAATTTCATAAGAAAAGGTTAAAAGATGAGTATCTAGTATAGTAGAGTATATAAAAGATTTAGATTTAATTACTAGGCAAGAAGAATTTGGGGTCAAAGGAGTAAATTTTGGATAGATTCTAGACCTGCCAATTTTTGAGTGAGTGCTGTTGGTCATAATTTTTTACCTCATATTTTCTGAGATGAAGAAAACAAGTAAGCAGTATCTACCTAGGAGCATTTTTGTGAGGATTCAATGAAATGACATGTAATATGTGAAAGTGCTTTGTAAGATCTGAAGTTATGTCCCAATATTAGTTGGTAGGGAACTAAAATAATATGTAATTGTTACTACAGTATCCTGAAACACACTTTCAAAAGGACTAATAAATCTATTAGAATTTGATTTATGTGGTGAAAATTACTTTGAAATTTTAAGAATTTCTATGAAGTTTATTGTTAGCATGGCTTAGATACTGTGAAATTTTATCTTCCATTTTTTACATTTCATTTTTATTTCTTAAAAGGAATCCACACTGTAAACAAAAACTGTTACAAAGGGACACTGAAATCCATAAATTTTTATTAACATTCTATAGAAAATGCATAGGGCAGAGTCTATTTGGTTTTGGTTTAGGGGTCTGTTGTTTCTTACTATATTCCCCACATTGTATTTATTAACCAAATAAGTTGAAAGAAGCATTCTGTTAATAGTGTATTTATTGTAGCAGGGCTTTATTATATGATACTGGGCTCTCATAATACCTATTTACCAATTTCTAGATGCTAGTAATCGTTCTTTTCCTAAAATTTTTAATTTTATTTTTATCACAGCATTAAATCCC